ACAGTAACACAACGCATAGAGTTTTGTGAAACTCATATAATTCATGGAAAATGAATGTATTTAACTTTAAGGAAAAAAATTGAAGTCATCCTCACTAAATTTATGATTATGTATTTTAGGTTTTCTAGTGTTTAACCTAATGTAAAACCTAAAATCTAAAACACTCAAATAAATGTAGAATATATTTGAATTATCAAAATAGATTCATCATAAAGAAACACTATACCTACAGAGACTCTTATAATTCGTATAGATTCATCATTATTATCAAAATAGATTCACCATACAGAAACATCATATCAATAGAGACATTATTAAAATCAATGTCGAATATTTTCAAATTCTAAACAGAGACTGTTGATTTTGAAACTGTAAACATGATTTCTCAAAAGAGATACACCATACAGTAACTAAAATCATCGTCAAACAGTTTCAAAATCTCAAAAAGAGATACACTTTACAGTAACAACATTTTTACATTTTTTTATTGAACTCTTATAATTCATGGAAAACAAAATATAAGCAAATTTAATATCATTCTCACTAAATTTAGATCTATGAATTTTATGTTTTTGGTATTTTTCAGACAAGAAAAAAATATAAAATAGCTACTTTTCAAAAAAAAAAACTCAAATGTACGTCGAATATCTTCGAATTCTCAAAAGATATTCACCATGCAGTAACACAATGCCTAAGAGTTTCTGAAACTATTAAAATTCATGGAAAACAACTGCATGTAACATTAATAAGCAAATTTAACACTAATAAGCAAGAAAAAAAATTGTCAAATGACCGATTATCTACCAACCAAAATTAATGTTAAAAGTATCAAATTTTTAATAGAGATTCACCAAAGAGTAATATTAAGCCCACAAACAAAAAGAAATTAACATTAAAAATAGAGAATTTTAAAACAATTGTATTTAACATTAAAAATAAATTTTCAATGATATTTGTGTTTTTCAATCGAGTTGAAAACCACCGAAAAACCATTCAATGACTGTTTTTCAATCGAATATCAAATTCGATCATTTTTAAAGACACTAATTGAAAACATTTGATGAGGGAAACTGTCTTGAATCCCAAAAACATTAACACTACGTATAAAATATGTGATTTTGTACGTCAAAGAGCTTCGACTTCTCAAAAGAGATTCATCATACAATAACACAATGCATAGAGTTTTGTGAAACTCATATAATTCATGGAAAACAAATGTATTTAACTTTAAGGAAAAAAATTGAAGCCATCCTCACTAAATTAATGATTATGTATTTTAGGTTTTCGAGTGTTTAAACTAATGTAAAACCTAAAATCTAAAACACTCAAGCCTACGTTGAATATATTTGAATTATCAAAATAGATTCACCATACAAAAACACCATACCTACAAAGACTCTTATATTCGTGGCAACTAAAATCAATGTTGAATATTATCGAATTCTAAGAAGAGACTGTTGATTTTAAAACTGTAAACATGAGTTCTCAAAAGAGATACACCATACATTAACTAAAATCACCGTCAAACAGTTTCAAAATCTCAAAAAGAGATACATATTACAGTAACAACATTTTTACATTTTTTAATGTAACTCTTATAATTCATGGAAAACAAATATATTTAACATTAAGAAGAAAATTTAATATCATTTTCACTAAAATTAGATCTATGTATTTTATGTTTTTGGTATTTTTAAGACAAGAAAAAAATATAAAATAACTACTTTTCAAAAAAAACTCAAATGTACGTCGAATATCTTCGAGTTCTCAAAAGATATTCATCGTACAATAACACAATGCCTAAGAGTTTCTGAAACTATTAAAATTCATGGAAAACAGCTGCATTTAACATTAATAAGCAAATTTAACACTAATAAGCACGAAAAAATGTCAAATGGCCAATTATCCACCAACCAAAATCAATGTCGAAAAGTATCAAATTTTTAATAGAAAGAATCATGCCTACAAATAAAAAGAAATTAACATTAAAAATAAAGAATTTTAAAACGACTGTATTTAACATTAAAAAGAAATTTTTAATAAATTTTCACTAAAATTAGGGCTATGTATTCTATGTTTTTATATTTTTTAAGCAAGAAAATTTTTGATACATGTGATTTTGTTACTGTTGAATATATTTGAATTATCAAAATAGATTTACCATACAGAAACACCATGCCTACAGAGACTCTTATAATTCGTGGAAACTAAAATCAATGTTGAATACTTTCAAATTCTCAAAAGAGATACACCATAAAGTAACATCATATTTACAGTTTTGAAATCAACATTTTCATGGAATTCTCAAAAAAGATATACCATACCGTAACTAAAATCAACTTGAAACAGTTTCAAAATCTCACAAAGAGATACACATTACAACATCTTTACATTTTTTTGAAACTCTTATAATTCATGGACAACAAATGTATTTAACATTAACAAGCAAATTTAATATTATTCTCACTAAAATCAGAGCTATGTATTTTATGTTTTTATATTTTTTAGACAATAAAAAAACTTAACATAGCTACCTTTCAAAAAAATCCAAATGTACATCGATTATCTTCGAATTCTCAAAAGAGATTCACCGAACAGTAACACAATGCCTAAGAGTTTCTGAAACTGTTAAAATTCATGGAAAACAACTGAATTTAACAATAATAGGCAAATTTAACACCAATAAGCAATAAAAAATGTCAACTAATCGATTATCGACAAACCAAAATCAATGTCGAAAAGTATAAAATTATTAATAGAGATTTACCAAAGAGTAACATCATCCTTACAAATAATGAAACTTTTATAATTCATGTAAATGTATTTAATATTAAACAGAAATTTTAAAGAAATTTTCTCTAAAATTAGGGATGTGTAATTTATGTTTTTATATTTTTTTAAAGCAAGAAAAAATTTGAAATATGTGATTTTGTTACTGTTTGAGATGACCCATTGAATCCAAACTGAGTATTTGCTAAAAATTCGGCAAAATAAATCAAAAATTATTTTTTCAGCCAAATTAGGGCTTATCTTTTTCTACTTTGGGAATTTTTTAAGCAAGAAAAAATTTGATATATGTGATTTTCTTACTATTTGAGATGACCCATGGAATCCAAACTCAATATTTGCAAAAAAAATCCGGCAAAATAAAACAATACTTATTTTTTCAACCAAATTAGGGCTTATCTCGTTCTACTTTGGGGATTTTTCAAGTATTAAACAACAAAAAAAAGTAAATGGTAAAAATTCATACCGTTAGAAAAGAGGAACTCAAATAATCCGGTGAAGTACCGCAAATTTTTCTGACGAAGAATCACAAAGATTTCCGGCGAATAGATTCACAAAAACCAAACTCAATAGCAGCTTGAACTCGTGATGAACTGGTGATGAAGAAGATATGCATGAACTAGTGATATATATTTGTCAAACAAATGTTGAAGCTTTGATGGTAACGAATGAAATGACATCTTCTTTGGAATTCAAAAAAGTTTAGGAAATGGTTAGTTTTTTATATTGCCATTAATGGCTCTTTGGTAACTGATGCCAAGGAATTAACGATATTGATTCCCAAAACCAATGATCTATTCGTCTTCCTCATATAAAAAAGGGCTTTTATGTCTTTTTTTTAGGAGATGTCCTTCTATCCCAAATATTTTAAAAGGTGGACTTTTGTCCTAATAAGTTATGGGGAGGTACCGACCTCCCTATAGCCCTTGTAAAAATTAGTTTGAGTCATAAAATCTAAAAATTGATTTTTATTTGGCACCGTAAAATTAACTTATGATAGTGTCATAGTCTACTTATTTTCTCCTTCATTACATGATACAATGACTCAGACAAATTCTTGTTGTAAATATTATTTTCACGTGATATTATCATAAGTATTTGATTATGACAATATAATATTGTGATGTATATCAAGTATGTATCAAAAAAAAAAAATTTCTTCTTTTTCTCTCCGATCATAAGACTCATACAAATGTATGTAATAGTCTATCAGAGAAACACAAATTCATGTAACTAATATCCCAATTTTGTTAAAAAAAATATGAAGCCATTAGAGTTTTTGAATGAGACTAATTCAAGAAATTTTAAAAAATTTAAGAGAGTATATGATATTTTTGAAAAGTTGAGGGGGGAGTCATGGCCCCCCTTGGCCCTATGTAATTCCGTCCATGTACGGAGAAGTTATGGTATATACATATCCATGCACTGTGGGAAAGAGAAACATTTAACGATGAAAGGAGTGTCAAAGAGAGGGAGGACGAATGAATGCCGTTTAGCTTTCTTTGTTGTGAAGTAAATGCAGGAGCACCACATTTTCCAGTTCTCTCTCTCTCTCTCTCTCTCTCTCTCTCTCTCTCTCTCCTTTCCCTTTCCTTAACCATTGATTGTAACGGTCTTCTACATCTTTTTTTCTCTGTTTCTCATATATACCTTAAAGAGCTCGACGTACAGTTCTACATACTAGAGAGACACACACTGTGAGAGAGGGAGAGGACTCGGCTAAGGAAGAGGAGGTGGGTTCCACACATAGATTTCCGTTACTTCCCTCTTATATTGAGCAATCAAGCTTTTGTTTTCTTGACTTGTAGTCAACTTGGGTCTCTTTCTTGATTCCATTCCATCATTCATACACTTTCTTTCTTATGCGCAATTGTACGGCATTTACTCTCTTTTTTTCCTTTCGAAAAGCAAGGGCATTTGCTTTTTGATTACATCTTTTAGGACACATTGAAGCTTTTGAAACCTCAAAATCATAATTTTGAGCATATATATCTTTCTCTTTCATCGCATTAGTCTATACCATTACCAATACTTCTGGTTTGTCTTCTTCCTATCCTGCTCTCTTAGCTGGTAAGCGACCCTTCTGTTATTAGTCTGTGCATGTGTGTGTAATATAAAGTGTTCGAGTGTTTGTTTTTATTTGTTTTCGAGGATTCTAATGTTGGAATGATAAAAGGGTTTTGGGCACTAAATAATATAAAGAAGAAGGAGAGATGATGATGAACACAGCATCTTCAAAGAAAGCAGAATCCAGGCCGCGTCAAGGCTTGATCGATTTGGTTTTCTCTTGGTCCATTGCTGATGTTCTTAATAAGGATCTCTACAAGGGCAAGGTTTGTCTCACTTTTGTCATAATATATGTAAACTTAGTAATTGTTCATGACTTCAAATCAATATATTGTATCATCATACATATTTACTCCCAAAACTAGCCACAAATATATTATATTCCATCATATATATTTACACTAAAAACCAACCACAAATTATAACAATTAATTAAAGAAATCAATTCAAAAAAGTCAAAACACATAAATTCTTATGTGGCAGTGTGTGTATGTGATTTTCAATCTATATATGAAGAGTTTTAAGAGTTAAAATGAAATAATTTTTATTTAAAGGCTGAAATGCAATTTATGATATAATTTGAGGATGAATGAGTAATTTAATCTCCATAAAGCATGCACCTCCAAAATTCCAACCAATAGGAATTGAGTATTGAAGCCTTACATGAGGCTAAACTCTGCTTATACAAATTATGTTAGAAAGAAAATTGAGAGAAAAGAATTAGTTATAAGCAATTGGAAATTTCAGCATTGGTTATAGATATAGACCCCACACATGCTCTAATAAATGTGTCAGAGATTTCTTTAAGTTCTATGAAGAAGAAGAATTTTCAAAAAAGTTCTGGGGTTATAATATTATTTTTGAAACTTAAGGGATAAAAATGTAAATACATTGAAATTAAGGGGGTGTAAAATGGAATTTGTGATCGTCTTCCTAGCTTTCTTTTCCAGACAACGGGAAGCCATTGTTGATAATTTTAAGATGTGCATTTTTTGTTTGATTTATCCACTTGGACTATTATTTTGAATTGTTATCACTAAAAATCCATCAATATAATTCAACTGTGGGTGGCCGATGGTTGGGGGACGGTGGCGGTGGCGGTGGAGAGGAGCAGAGGCGGTGGCTTACATTGCTTGGGCTGTGGGCGATATCTATGCATCAATTTCACACATATTATTATATCAGCCTAAGTTGCTACACCATCAAACAAATTACTTTATGATTGGCTAGAACCCAAATGGGGTGGTAGTATTTTTTTGTCACTATTTCTTTTTATTTTATTGATTTCTGCCAGATTGATGGAATCTGCGGCGTTTGTTTCAATTGCATGATAATTGTACCAGTGTCAATATATACACACATTCACACTTATATAAGATTAATAGCACTTTTAGTCTCTAAAGTATTTAATTTGTGTCATTTTAGTCCTCATATAGACAGACCATTAAGTTTTTGACAGAATGATCATGTGTTGGGCATGTGATACCATCTAAAAAATTGACACGTGACTACTTCAGTCAAAAAATTTAACAGTCCGTTTATGTGGGGACCAAAATGACACGAATTAAATACTTTAGAACTAAATTGATAAAATTGAAACATTGAGGACAAAGATAACAAAAGATACACACTTTAAAGACCAAATTTGTTATTAACTCATATATATTAGTTATTTCATGTGCCTAAAGGCACAGAGTAAGAAAAAAAATTGTCAATAATAAATATATTTGTATTCATACCCAAAATCAAATCACAAATAGAGAGAAGAAAAAAATAAATTTAAGCACCGGTGGAAGTGGTGTGCGGTGATGGTGGTGGTGGAAACGGTGATGATTGTGGTGGGTGACGACAACCGTGGTGGTGGCAACAGTCGTAGGTTGCAACGGTGATTGTGGTGGTGGATTTTGGGTGACGATAGTGGTAGTAGCAGCTATGAGTGACGATAGTCGTAGTAGGGGGTGTGGGTGATGGTGGGCGACAGTGATAGTGGTTGGCAATGGTGGTGGTGGTTATGGATAACGACGAGTATTTTTGGGCGATGGTGTGATGGGTGGTGACGAATGACAACAGTGGTGATGGTGGGAGTGGGAGACAATGGGTGGCGGTAGTAAAAAAAAAAATGACAGGTGGTTGTGGTAGATGTGGTGGGTGTGGGTGACACTTGTTGGCGACGATGATGGGTGACAACTGGTAGTGGTGGGGTGATGGAGGTAGTGGTGGGGGGGTAGTTGTGGTGGGGGGGTAGTTGTGTGGGGGTGGGTGGTGGGGTGGTAGTGGTGGGGCGGTGGTGGTGGTAGTAGGGCGGTTCCAAATACTACTTTTTTTATATAGTATTTAAGAGAAGTCATAAATTATAGAAGCACTTTTTAAAAGTCCCTCAAAACACACTTTTAGGGACCTATTTTTTCTATTAAATTTGTAATGTTAATATTAATTGTCAGATTAATTTTAAAGTAAAATTTAAAGGGATCTCAATTGTGAAAAGTAAAAGTCATTTTGTTTATTTTTAAGATTTGAATTGTATTGTATTTTATTATATATATATACACACACACACGCACACTCGCATCCAACTATAACACAGACCATTCTCTTCTTCTCCTCCTACACCCTTTACTCTCTCTCATCCATTATTTTATAAATTAGTAAAAATATTATAGAAATTATTAGATTACAAAATTTAATGTTTAAAACAAACTTAAAGAAGTGGTGGTTAGAGGAAGTTTATGGGTAGTTATTGGAAACAGAGAATATGATTAGAGAATGAAAAGTTTATTAATTCAAAATTTTTAAAAATTAAAAAAGTGAAAAAGGGAGGCTCCTCAAGCCCTCTCCCTAAGAATTAGATTGTTTTATTTATATCTATAATATAAAATAGAGCAAGCTTTAATAAATTCATTCGACATTCTCAAATAAACTTATTCAACAGTCACATAAAGGCGGCCTAACCTAGTTTGGGGCCCTAGACAAAAATGTTATATGAGATCCTATAAATATTTATTCAGTAATAATAGTAATATTAAATATTTATTAAAATATGTTTATTTACAAATTATTTGTTTTGTCTTTTGAGATATAATAGACTAATTCAAATTTTAAATTTAAATTTTATAAATAAAATTTATTTTAATCGAAATCAAATATAAAAATCAAATACAATGATACACACTATTTGTTTAAGATAAAATTAAACATAATTTAAAATTAGTTTGCCTAGTAAAATAAAAAAATTTCTAAATGTATATAAAAGGAATTTATACAAGTTGAGTAGTCCTAAAATAATTGAGATATCTATAATATAAAACAGAATAAACTTTAATAAGTCCATTTGACGATATCAAATAGATTTATCCAATGATCACCAACATCTCTCTCAAAACCATTCAAATCGAATTTCCCTCCCTAAATCCATCACTTATCACTTACATTGCACTGTGTCGACAGACACGGATTACCCCTAGTTATTAGATATCATAGAGAAAAAGAGCTATTTTTAAATAAAAAAGATAGCTAGTGCACCATTTTTACTCACTATATTTTATAGTCATCTTGTGCTTTATAAATAAAGTTATTAAAAAAGGACCCCAAATTTAATTTATACAAATGTAAAATTATTATTTGTATCTATTATACGATAGACAATTGATTTTAATAATAAGACTGCAAAGTGATAATATATTATAATATAAATATCGGGTGAGATAAAAAAATAAGTTGAACTTTAGGGCCCTAAAATTTTTTGAAAGGAATTTTAAAATTTTTACAATAATACTAGTTACACTTAATTTGAGGACCAAATACATTAGATAAATAGTAAATTTTGTTTAAAGTTAGCAATCACAATTAATTCAATGATTAAAATATATTGAGTATTTAAATTATATTCTAAAATTTTAATTATGTATCATTGTTTATTTTGTCCCCCTATATGGACTTGTTTGGATTTAAATCAGTCAAGAAAACTTATTTGTTATGAAGTTCTTTTTTTGTCGATTTTACTATACTATCCCTTCCTTTTATAAGTGAAATAAAAATAAAAATTAAAAATTTTTAAATCTTAGGATATATATATATATATATATATATATATATATATATATATTTTCAAATACAAAAAAAAAATAACATTCAAAAACAAAAAAAAAGTTATCATTTGAACATAAAAAATAATATATTTAAACACAAACAAATAGTAACATTACATAAAAAAAATTGAAACATTCAATATTAATATTTTTAAAAAATATCAACAGTAACATGTTCAACAAAAATATTAACAAGTTCAACAAAAAAAAGTAACAAGCTTAACAAAAACTGTAACATATTTAAAAATAATTATTTGTCTCAAATTCAAACGCAAAAAAATAATACTATTCAAATACAAAAAATAGTAATATTCAAAAAAAAAAAAGTAATATTGAATATTAATATTTAGAAAAATAATAGTAGTAACATGATCAACAAAAACAGTAACATGCGCAAAAATAATAGTACATGAACAATAATATACTCAACAAAAGCAGTAACATGAACAGTAATATAATAAAAAAAATAGTAACATGAATTTGAATTTTATTATTCAAATTCACAGTAACTTTTTTTTTGTATTTGAATGTTACTATTTTTTTAATGTTATTATATAAGAAAGAGTGTGTTTGAATTTTATCTCAGTCATATTTTTCTCCTCAAAATTATCACCAATCACTTACCTCACCCATCATCCCTTTGTCAGATTCAAACGTCAAATCGTATAACTTATTTTTATTATATGTTTAATCATTTATATATTTCTTTCCTAAAAATGTCACATCACTCATTTTTATCATATATTTAATTATTTAATATTTAATTAATTTATAGTTAACATATTTTGAAAAAAATTAATATAATGGGATTGATTTTTTGGACGCTCGAATTTTGTATTTTATTATGCCTTCAAGCACGGGTTATGACTATATATATATATATATATATATATAGATAAGAGAGTGGAAAAATTTTAATGCTAGTCAAACTTTTAACCTATATATGGATACAGGTAAATTTGAGAGAGAAAAAATTAATTTCCTTTCAAGGGAGCTTATTTTTGAGATAAAAAAAAAAAAAAAGTGGACTTAAGTCATTACATATAATTTTAAACATGGACTTAACCCCTTATAAGTTTCCTTGCAGGACTTATATCCAAACAAGTACATTTAGGAAGAGTCGGTTCCAATTTTCACTTTATTTCATTATGAGACTCCAAATTTTTCTTTTAATTTGGGCCCAAGGCAATGGCCTAAAGGTTGGGCCAGTAGTATAGTCACAATATCTCTTAAAACAATTCATATTACATTGTGGCTTTAGGTACGGGTTAACTCTACTATATATATATATATATATATATATATATATATATATATATCTATGCACCTGTTTCACTCACATTATGTCAGCCAAGTAGCAACACCACCAAATCAGCCAGAGCCCAACAGGGGTGGCCCTGTTTTTTTTTTGTCTCTACTGCTTCTTGTTTTATTGATTTCTGTTAGATTGATGTAATTGTTCCACATTGTAATTTAAAGAAAAATGAACTTTCTTTTTTCAAATTAATTTGTTAATTGTAACTTTATTGATTTTTATTTGTTTCTGTCTAGGCCAATGTGCTTCCTAATTGCATGTGTGTTCTGTTAAGTCTTGTAGAAGTGAAAATATTCAAGTGTTTTACTCATGACTCTCTAGCTAATCTGTATCTTTGACAGGTGAAAGAAATCCCTAAAACATTTTCTTCGACAGCTGATTACATGAACTCATTCATCTACCCGCTTATTGAGGAAACACATGCGGATTTGCTCTCAAGCATGACAAACTTGCCTGGTGCACCTATGCGTGAAATTTTAGATGTTACAATTTCTAAAGACTTTAAGCCTCCCAAAGCGTTGTTGTACGACATTACCTTGACGAGACTGGGAGAAAAGGAGAATGGCAACGACAAGTATGAGCCAGAGGTTGGAGATCTCATTGTCTTGACAGATGTAAGACCAAGATGTATTGATGACCTTAACAGGCCAAAGAGATCCTATCTTATTGCTTTAGTTCGAAAGGCACCAGATGAAAATGAAAAAGAAAAAAGAAAAAGGGCATCAGATGAATTTCTTGATGCACTTCAAATATTGTCTTCACAACCCATTGTGTTTGATGAATCAGCTGCGGACAAGGATAAGAAGAGAGAGAAACTTTTTGCCGTTTATCTTACAAACTTGACGACAAATATTCGTATATGGAAAGCCTTGAATTCAGAATTGGAAGGGGGTAACATGAACATCATTAAACAAGTGCTTCAAACTGATTCTGCGGTAAGTATACGACATTTCACTCTTTTTGCACATAAATATCCTTGCTTGTTTCCCTTTAAGAGTACCACTAAGTGCTATCCTCTTTTGTTTGCATTTTCTGCATCTACAATGAAAATAATCGTGGTATGAGTCCTATCTCCTATGATACACACATCTACCACATCCCCCCTTCTTGTAGTTCATTTTATTTTCACTATTAAAATTTTAATTTTTTGCAATTTCTGGCTGCATATAGGATGGTGAAAATTGTACACTCTGCTCCATTGAAGTAAATGACAGTGTTATATCAAAATCAAGGGAAGTCATTCGCCCGTTTAAGCTAGATGAATCTCAAGAAGACGCTGTGATGAGGTGTATTGCTACAAGAGAATGCAATCATAGAAACACTGTCAAATTAATATGGGGCCCTCCTGGGACAGGGAAAACAAAAACAGCCGCTTCTTTGTTATTTGCCCTATTAGGATTAAAATGCAGAACACTTGGCTGTGCCCCGACAAATATTGCGGTCCTAGGAGTTACAGCAAGGTTTATGAGTTTGGTAATGAATGATCTTCAGTATGATACCTATGGATTGGGAGATATTGTTTTGTTTGGTAATGGGAAGAGAATGAAAATTGACGATCATGAAGACCTTTTTGATGTGTTTCTTAAATTTCGGGTTTCTTGTCTTGTCCGTTGTTTTGCTCCATTGTCTGGGTGGAAAGGTATGACAGAATTAATGATACGTCTTCTTGAAGACCCTGAAGGGCAATATAATCTGTATCTAAGTAAAGTGAAAAATGATGATGAAAATCATGATAGTGAGGACGAGGCTGATGATGAGCAACAGGATGGTGGAAATGGGAAATCGAGTGGCAATCAAAGAAAAAAAAATGAGATCAACGACTTTAAAGGCATGAAGAAAAAGGGAATTTGGAAGAAGTTCATTGTCCAAATTTTGAAGGAAAACAAGAAGAAAAAGGCGTCTTCTCAAGTGAAGTGTGATAAGGGTAAAGAAAATGGAAACCGCAAAGGAGAGGCAGCTGATAAATGTCACATACCTTGGACATTTGAGGAGTTTTTCACTAAGAGATTCAATTCCATTAGTAAGAAGATTATTTTTTGTTTTACAAGCTTGTATACCCATTTACCTACTTCTTTCATTTCATTGGAGGTAGTAAAGGTCATGCTTAAAGTTCCTGGTTTGCTTCAAACTGTTGGAACTTTGCTGCAAAGTGTTCCCGTTACAAATGAAGACTTGAGAGAAGTCCACAATGGAATTGAAGGCGAGGGGACAAGGATGAGAATCTATAATGAGCTGCGTATGGCCAGAACTGAGTGCCTTCAATTACTCAAATTCATTCGTGAAACATTTGATGTTCCAGCTCTTACAGAGCACTATGATATTTTAAGTTTTGAGTATGATGTTAGAAGTTTCTGTTTGAAAAATGCATGCTTGATTTTCTGCACTGTTTCAAGCTCAGCCAAGTTGCACACGGAAGGAAAGGCACCGCTGGAAATGTTGGTAATCGATGAAGCTGCTCAGCTTAAAGAATGTGAATCAGCTATTCCCTTACAGCTCTTTGGTCTTCGCCATGCTATACTTATTGGAGATGAGAAACAACTTCCTGCGATGGTTCAAAGCGAGGTTACAACCAATCCTTATTTCTGTTTATTTTTATTGGAAATTCATAAAGAAATTGCATATTATTTACATCTTTAATCTGTTGCTAATAGATATGTGAGAAAGCTGAATTTGGAAGGAGCTTATTTGAGAGACAAGTTTTATTAGGAAAAGGGAAGCACCTTCTCAAAGTGCAGTACAGAATGCACCCATCAATAAGCTTATTCCCGAATAAGGAGTTCTATGACAACCAGATTATGGATGGTCCTAATGTGAAAGAAAAGACATATGAGAGGCACTTTCTGAAGGGAACCATGTTTGGTCCTTACTCTTTTATAAATGTATCCCATGGTGTAGAGCAGTTTCATAATAGTCATAGCAGGAAAAATATGGTGGAGGTGGCTGTTGTTGCTGAGATTTTAGCAAGCCTCTTCAAAGGTAATTTTCTTCAATTAACTAATTTTTGGAGGATGACATTCTTCTATGGCTATTTGTTTTGGTTTACTTCTTGAAGCTTGATCACATAGGTGGGAATATTGATTATTGTTCTCCTTGTAGAATATGTTACCAGAAGACAGAGGGTCCGTGTTGGTGTCATTTCACCATACAAAGCTCAAGTTTTTGCAATCCAGAAAAAACTTGGAAAGACATACAGTACAGATGTAGACAGCGAGTTCTCTGTGAATGTTCGGTCTGTTGATGGGTTTCAAGGTGGTGAGGAGGATGTGATAATTATCTCTACTGTGCGATGTAATGTGAATGGAGCAGTCGGTTTCCTTTCCAATCATCAAAGAGCAAATGTGGCTCTGACTCGGGCAAGGTATAACTTTCAACCAACTGAACAAAGTGTGCTCAAAGATGGTTTTTGTCTCCTAGGTGACTTTGCAAGAAAAAACAATGTTTGCTCTCTTTTTGTAGGAATTGCCTTTGGATATTGGGGAATGGACCAACTTTGATTAACAGTGGTTCTGTTTGGAAGAAATTAGTCATGGATGCCAAGGCTCGGGATTGTTTTTATAATGCTATTGACGACAGGAACTTGGCCCAAGCTATTACAGGTGTCGAAGGGTATGCACACCATATTCTTGCTTTCTTTTCCTCCTGTTCATTAATATTTGAATTTATGGTTCATGAGTTAGAATAGGATTTAGCAATGCATAATCCTTATAATTTCTCGTGCACGTAACAATATCCTTCCTTTTGCTAGTGAGGCTGTTTTCAGTGCTATCTCGGTGTTTGATTCCAATAGAAATCGCGGGAAGAATTTAAAGTGATGCCACCACTTCCCCAACTGGAGAAGAAGGAAAAAGTACCAGTGCCACCTTTTCCACCATGGCTCTGCTAATCTACTGCATTTAACAGTTGCTAAAGATACCAGCCGGCCCTTCCTGCCTCACTACCCTAATTGTCCGCCCATTGCCACCAGATTTGCGCCCAGTTCCCTCGACATTTCTTCTAGACATGCTTTTTGGTGCTTCCAATGTTTATTTTACATGGAACAGTCCTACAGACTTCTCTTCAAGTCCTCGCTCATTGAACCTTCAAATCAGCAAAATCCCAAGAAGATTCTAATTAGTACTTCCGCAACCTATTCCAAGCTCTATCAGACCTTAACCTTCCCAATTTGTCACCTAACAATACTTTTTTGCTGAGACCACATCCAATGATTGGCGTACAACGAAATATCTTGCTTGCATTATAGCTGTTTAACTACATTGGTAAATTATGTGCTTTAGGGCCATAGGACGTGGGGAAAATAAAATTTGTGAGATTGAAACTCCAACAAATGAGACTATTTTTTTTTTTATTTTTTGGGGAGATGGGAGGGGGATTTGAACCCTTGATCTCAAGAAGGCAAAATCTTCATAAGTCAAAGAGTATCATTAGACCAAAAACCCGTCGGTACAAATGAGACTATGAAAAGCTTACTTGCAACTTTTTGGCCACTGCAGGAATTTAGTGGTTGCAATGACATGGCCTGTGAATCCAATTCCAAATGCTGACACTACTACTCTTCCACATGATGATGATGATGATATGAACCAGTCCTTAGCAAGTCAATTAGCTGCGCTAAATCTGAGGAATGAACCAGGATCATCAACTGCCAGTTTTAGGTGAGTACTTGGTTCAAATCGTTAAGATACTGACAGATAGAAGCTCGAGTTCAAAAGTACACAAGCTTATAAGTTTTGTAAAGACCTGATTTACCTTTCTCCTCAGTTCCGATTTACCAGGTTATCAAATTAACCATGGTTGCAATTGCTAAATATGTATGGAAGTTTCTACATTGGTGTCTTTCATTTATTTCGTTTTCCTATTAATGTATATCATAAATCACAGGAAGAGTGGAGCAAAAGCCTTCGGAAGGAATTGATGGCAGAGTAAAGCTGCAAATTGGAGGTGAATTGCCACTTCTCTTTTGCTACGTGGTTTACTTTGAGGGAACACGTAGTCCCTTTGTATATTATTGTTATATTCATTGCTGGTGAAGATGTTTAGAATATGATTATGCTCAAAGAAAAATTATATTTCTCAAGCATTTTATCTTCCATATGATTATGCTGTACAGAGTGCAGTTTTTCTCCTGGCAGCATTAATTTGTGTTGGAGCTTTCTTGTGTTGCTTCGTGAAAACCCGCTATTTATAATTATATCTATTAAGTTATCAAAAATTTTGACTTTTAATAGAAAATTTAGATGAAGAAATGGATTTCACCGTTGAATTCCTCTCATGAAAACAAGTCGGACTAATATAATATTGACTATGTTTAGTACCGAGGTTAAATTAACTTAATTTAAATTAATTAAATGAAATTTAATAAATTACCCATAAAAAAAAAATAGCATTATCAGTCATGGCAGCCTGCCATGACTATTTAGCTGACATTGGAAGGCAAGGAACATAATTACCATGCCATTGCCGCCCCCTTATCATAGCTATGACTTACTAATTAATTGGACAGAAGCCCCTCTCCTTCTTAGTGTATAAATAGAGGCAAAACAAATGAAAGATGGGGAGAAAAATAATCTGGCAGCCTTGGTATTGAAAGGAAAGCCGACAGAGAGAGAGAGAGAGAGAGAGAGAAGCTCCATTGTTAGAAGAGGAGAAGTTTAAGGACGGGGATGAAAATTTATTGAAAAGTAATCTAGGTCCTTGGTGATGAATGGGGAGTTTTGGATTTGAAAGTAATGAATAAAGAAATGATTTATGGCAGAAAAAGAAAAAAGTGGAGAAGAAGCTTTACTGATGCAGGGTTCTGAACGTTGAAGAAGATGAATGAAATTTTGGTTTAATTCCAGAAAGGTCTCCTTAACCTTAAACATGTTATACCTATGAGCTTTGTGAAATTATACAATGACCACGGAAGTTTATAAAAACATTTCCAAATACCAAATCAGTATTTCCAGTAGTTTGGAAATGTTTCTAAAATTATACATTGACCCCAATAAGTATGAAATATTTTTGAATATTACAAAATGATCTCTAATTGCACGTTGAAGTTCCTAAAGATTCACGAATGAACCCAAAAGATTAAAACTGTGTGGAAAGACCACCAAATCACGTGTAGTCTTTAAGATGGTACTTTCTTGAAGTTATAAACTACTCTCATGGTGATGAAAAATATGTATATATATTGATTGTTCAAGTAAAAGTGTGATTACTTATGGAAATTAAACTACCAATATATATGAAAATTTACAAGATAAGTATCATGTGTGAAGGGTGTTAAAGTGATATTGAAATGATTATTTATGATTATGTTATTTGCATTTTGGTTGTTATCATGATGGTAAATGCACCATTTGTGGTTATTTCGGTTAGTGTGCTTAACCAACTTTGAGACGCGTGAAATGATAATTCTTGAAACGAAATTGGGACAAGTAAGCAAGGATCATTCCTCTCTTGGGTGAAAGACCCGAAACAAGTATTGATCAAGCGTAGCATCCGTCGAGGTGCGGGTTTAATCATGCCTTGATTGAAAGCATCTAAGGACGAAGGGGTGGGGTACACCCAAGGTTAGAGCCCTCAAAGGGACCTGGAGTTCCCAAAGTGTTTGTTCATAGCAAACAATGTATTGACATAAATGGATAGAGATCAAGATTGAGATTGAAAGTCTAGTGCGACCCATGACATGAATGGGTAAGATTGGTTACGTGCTCTATTGAAACTTGAAATTATTCGCAGGCATCATATTTTTGGTAATGTTTATAAAATGTCTCATCCTATATTTTAAGCAGGTTGTTACAATAAATATTATTCGATATGAACTTACAAGAATTGACACATATTATACAAGATGTGGTTAAAACTTAGTAGTTGTTCTTCTTATTGAGTGTGGCTTATCCTAGCATTTTTGGAGAGACTAGACCAAGAAATGGTGGGGGTTTCTTCCCAAAGTTATCTTAAATGTTTGTACTCAGTTGGCTTATATTATATTTCAGGTTAATGTTTGAGAAAATTCCAGATTTATGACTTGTGTTTTACTGCTTTGGTGCTTTTTCGAAGCCTACGGGTTTAATAGTGTCGATTAATGGACTATATTTTGGATGAATGTATAATTTGAGTTCGTGGACTATGATATTAAATAAATGCTCAAATTGCAAATCCGTTGGACGTAAGTTTACTTTGAGAGTTCGTTAAATGCTCTGATTATCCAATTTAAATAACCCCCCCCCCCAAAAAAAAAAAAAAAAGAACCAAGGTGTGACATGCTTAGTTTATCTGTTATTCTCATTATTAATACCAGTATCTCCTCTGTTCAAGATCCATTTTATATTATGGGCTAGCAAAGTTATTCCTCGTTAAGGAGAGTGGGTTTGATTGAGTTGTTTATCCTTGATATGGTATGGGGATTAGGTCTCACAAGGTCACATGGTGGTTATTTTCCTCCTTTTAAAAGAATAGACTAAATCCATTGATGTATGCTTGTATATTAAAAACAAAATGGGAAATGTACCCTTAGGATTCGTAGCTCAAATTGAATCACGCCATGTTATGAAAGTTCTCAGATCATATAAAATAAGAATAGTACCAAAGACTGCACAAATTCATAATCGAAAATGGCGAAAATGAAAATTTGGCCAAGGAATTTTGCTCAATTAGAAATTTATACATAATGGAAAGACTTCGTTAAGAAAGCACGAAACTCCACAGTAATGTCTCTATTGGATTCTTTGGTCGAAACACGGAAAAATTATATTCAATTCTCGATGGAAATAGAGTTTTGCGAATCCTCTCCAGAGTTGGAAGAGCATTTTGAGATTTTTAAACATATTTGAGGATTCAATGTGACTATTGTCACTTTGGTCAACACACAAGATGAGACTTTACTACTGTGAAACGGCTTTCTGTAAAAAGATGAGGGGAAAGCTCAATAAGGTGTCTTAGAGGTGAAATATATGAGATCACAAGCATAATTGGTTCCGGCTAAATATGAATTGAAACGATAGCTTTATAAAGCCTTTTGTAAAGATTTCAAGCTTCCTAGTGATATGCAAGATAAATGTCGTTATAAGTTGTTCAAGTTGTTTGAAAATAATTCCGTTACACGAGTAAAAAACCAATATATTTTCACGGATCACCCTCATTTTGTATACGAGTTCCTTTGAATTTCTCATATCATTTTTCGTGGATTAGCATCTCGAGGTCTTTTGATGGGCATAAAGAAATTATTTTGATAGCAACAAATCAATAGAACAATACAACAAGAGAAGTAATGAGGCCCGCAAGTGTTAACTAAGTTGGGCTATGTTTGGTATGATAGAAAAGCGGAAGATGAAAATTTTAAATAATAGATAAAATATTATGTTTAATAAGAAAAAAAAATTGAATGATTAGTTATCTTTTTAACTCACCAAAATCTATCCCTCTAAAATTATGAGAAAAAGTAAAAAAAAAATTAGTTATGTTAAAATGTATGTTATTTATTTTTATAATATGCATATAATATTATTTATTTATATACACAAATTTATACATAGATATAATGATAAAATATGTATCTATACTCTTTTTCCTCCTTTGACTTTTTCATCCATACTAAACACAAAGAAAATCAATTCTTACTACTTCTCATCTCTCTTACCAAACAAAAATGAAAGAAAAAATGATTCATTCATTGAATTCTCCTTCTTTTCATCTTTTCATTTACCCTACCAAAGACGTCATCAGGTTCAACCAGAAATATAGAGTACTTGGGCAATAATATTTGGTATGGAAGTTGGATTTGGAATTAAAATAAAAAATTCTATCCAATTTTTTAAATTCAAACAATACCAGTGTTAGGGGCCAATTGAAGAAAGGCTTCCCTCGGTGTCGATTATAACTGGTTTAGTGGCTGAAAAGGGTTGGCAAGTTAAGGGTATCTTCACCTTTGTTTTTTGAAAAAAAAGAACAGTAAGTGTTATTGTAGTCTTGTTAATTAACTGTTGGACATATGGAATAGCCACAATCCACAGGTCTCATATGGGTCAAGTTACTTGGATTTGTATTGGGTCCATATTTACCAGGAAAAAAAAAAAGGATTCTTATGTGTTCTATAATAGTTTGAGTCAAAAATTTCTTTTTTTTGACGGACACTATTATAAGAGAGGTGAATAATGAGATTTGAACCTCAAACTTAAATTGTAATAGCGAAAGCGGTAGTCGCTAATCTCTAAAAGTCAAAGCGTCAAATTTTCGACTTTCACATTTCTAGTAGTAGAAATTGAAAAACCAACAACCAATAAAAATATATAGACGTAATCTTTAAATTATTATTATTAAGCCCAATTATTTGTTTGGATCGAGGGGTTTCTACATTAGTATTTAACCCACGCTTTCAAAGCGAATTCACTATAAATTTGTGTTTTTAGTTTCATAAATTTGAAAATTCCGTTTGGCAAATTCACCAATTTTAAAAAACATCAATAAAAAATAATTTTAATAAAATTTTAAACTCCAAATCCCAAGCCTCCAGCTGTACTCAATCTTATTTTAAGACTTTTCCGCCTAAAGGCTACGCCATTTGCTAATTTGTTGTACTAAAGGACCCCTCATTTTTTATAGAAGACGAGCGTGACCTGTGCTTGTAAGTACAGTATAAAGTGGATGATTTTGAGAAGGATATTAGTAGTCGT